TGGGTCTACACTGCCAAATGATACAGTTTGAACTATATTATATGGTCGATGTAGCCCTATATATTTCAGTGCAGTTCACATGGCACTGAATATATAATGCATTTCAAACTGTATTATTTGGCAGTGTAGATCTAATCTTAGAATAAACCCATTGCAGTTGGTTGAAGAAACGATTTATGACTGAAATTCTATTGACTTCAATGGGTTGTTTCTACTTTAATTCAAATTGAATGTGTTTTTGCTAAAATGATTGCTTTTATGCAGGTGATCTGCACAAAACACTGCATTTTGTTATTTAGCTTGTGTCTTCCCTCTTGGCTGTCAGAATGTTTTCCTTCCAAGACTTCTGAGACCAATTTAATTGAAAAAGGCTTCCCCACACAGACATTTCTAAGGCAGTGACATGACATCTTTGTGTCTGACTAGCTCTCCAGGAGCGAGCGGTGAAAGTCACTGATAGTTTTACTATTACTTTGTTTTGTAGCTGAGTGTGTAGGCTGTGTCTGTGCGCACATGCATGCACACGCTCACTTCCATGCGCATGCTGATAGTAGCCTAAATGGAGCAGCCTATTCCTACACTGACAGGTTCCAGCCAAGAACAACAAAGGCAAAGCAGAAGTATTCCAAAGCCCCCTGCATTCATGTTTATGAATTCTAATCCTCAGCACATGAATAAATACATCTGACAAACTGCAGAATGCCTTACAAAGGCCTTTCCTGACCTTCCTAATTTAAGTTCAATTGCATGTGCAGTGATGAGAAGCCAGGGTTGGCCTTGCCAATGTTTTTGAAACCGAGGAGAGTGTGAAGTTACTACAATCTGTTAAAAGGGAAGTGCCAGAGAATAACGGTCTAATTACCCTATTAATCACCTGCAGAGAATTGCATCTTCAAATTATGATAATGGTTGACTCCATTTGACCACTTTTTCCTCCTTGTTGTTCTTACTAAAAGGTGAAATGGATTGTTTGAGCTGGCTGGATAAATTAGAAGCTGAATGGACGTAATTTACTAATGAGTAGCTGCAGTAGATCAGCATACTCTATTTATATGAGTTAACTATTTCAACACCAAGTTTGAGAGTTTTTCTGTAGGGCGTTGTTGAAGGACCGGTTGAAAAGGTGTCAGTAGTGACAACTGTCCAATTAAAGGATAGTTGGCAGTCATCTCATTTTGGGCCTGTCATGCTGTCAAAGCATTTCTGAGAGGGCATCTACACTGTAGAGTTAATGCAGTTTGGCACCACATTAACTACCATATTGGTGAGGCACAAGCACTCTTTGGCAGAGGAAAGCTAAATACTTTGTAGCACTACAGTTCCCATGATTCCATAGCAATGAGCCATGGCAATTAAAAGAGATGTCAAACTGTATTAATTCTACAGTGCAGATATACCCTGAGCATCTTAGTGGGATATTTCTTTCACTCAAACAAGTGCTTTGCTTTGTGTCTCTCACCCAGTTTAAAATATTCGAAGTAAACAACACAGTCTGGGATTTGAAGGAGCAGTGGCAGCATGGATTTCAAAACATAGATGTTCTTCACCCAAACATAACAGTGATACTACCATTGGTGCTTTTATCTCCAGATTCAGTATCCATGGATTTCACAACCCACACCTTGAAAATATGGGGAAAAAATCCCAAAAGCAATTTGACCCCTCCCTTGATTTTTTATAAGTGACAGAATTTTCCTACATTGTATTGAATGGAACTTGAGCATCCATTAGGGATCCTGGAACCAATCCTAAATGGATACCAAGGACCCACTATATTTTTTTTATTATAGTGAATGTGTATTAGTCATTCTTCAGTTTCTCAGATAGGCAGCCAAGGGTGGTGCAGTGAAATTCCTTGAGAATATACACTGAACTCCTAGGTAGCTGGATATTTTAACAAAAATTAACTTCTCTCTAATGGCTTGTATGGCTAAGGGCATCACTATTTCAAAGACTACCCCCCCCCCCCAGTTGCTTGTCCTTTCAGGGCCCTTCCACACAGTCCTTTATTCCAGAATATCAAGGCAGAAAATCCCACATTATCTGAGTTATAACCCTTCAAAGCAGATATTATGGGAAGGCCCTCAGTGCTCCTTCCCTGAGATGTTCTGCTTTCAAAATTCAGCAGTCATCACTCAGAGATTAATTTTTTATCCTAATAGACAGTCAAGGGACAGTCAAAAATATTATTATTATTATTATTATTCCTTTGCATTATCCTGCATTTTCCTAAGAAGTGACTAGAATTATTCTACTGCTGTGCTTTTGCTTTTTCCTTCTTCTTATCCCTCTGTATTTATTACCCAGCATTTGATTGCATTGTTCTTGTTGATTTTAACAGGATTTATTGACCTCCCCGGGAGCAGTGATACTAATCAGTAAACCAGCAGTAAGAACTAAGGGCCCACCAGGGAATTCAGTGTAGCCTCCTGGTCACCTTAAGTTTCAATCCATGAAAAATGTCAGCCACCAAATGGTGAATCATGCCCTCAAAAACCTCTTGGCCAGGGATTCTTATCTTAAACCTTTTCAGCTGCTGAGTCCTTTCTGAAGCAAAAGTTTCTTGAGGAGCCCAAAGAAATGTTTATATTTAATATATATTATATGATATATAATGTATATATATCAGGCATGGGCCAAGCCAGTGGCAGATGGATGCCAATACAACATAATATTTAAAATGGAAAACAATTTTAACAAACATAAACTTGACAGTTTTTTAGTGGAAGACCCTCCCAGGGCCATCCATTCCAACCCCCCTTCTGCCATGCAGGGAAAACACAATCAAAGCACCCCCAACAGATGGCCACCCAGTTTTAGTAGTAGTAGTAGTAACAACAATAAACAACAACAACAGAAACTTTATATCACCAAGCACCGCCATCTGGAAGCTACCTTAGAAGTTCAACCAGAACCACTCTGCAATGCTCAGCCATTTCCAGTCAACAAAACCCAAGAAGTTTCTGTCCATTTAAGGTGTGGCTTGGGATTACTGCCTAAGCAGCAGATAATAAAAGAGCTGAATGGAGTATCTGTATTTTAGCTAAGTAAACATAACTGAATGTGAAATATAATTCATATAAGCTTCCTCCACAGGAAGTTTTGGAAAATACATAGGTTTGGCTTGTCTCCATAAGCCATATCGGGATGAAGTTAGCATGACTAATCCTACTGCAACTTTTTGGGGAAAGAAAAGTTCAGATGATGTTTGGAATGGGTGAATAGAAGAAAAAGAAAAGTTGGTTAAAAAAACTTAATTGAATGTAGAGCAAAAAAAAACCTAGGAAGCACAAAGTCTTAAGTATTTAGGTTATAAAACACTTATCTTTGAAGTGCTTATGTTTTGCAGTGTTGAGTTGGGCTGTACCCTTGTTTCTGGAGAGATTCCTCACCCTTAAAAGGTACATGGTAGAAAATACATGTTCCTCTTCATGCTGAAAAGACCGTTCTCACTGAATTAGTCCAGGGCCTAATGGCTTTTGTTAAAACCAAAACCAACGTCTGTAAATTTTAACATAAATGCAACAGGAAGGCTATGTTAGATAAGTGAGAATCCCAGTTGATACACCTTGACTAATGGGACCTTTCTGATTGCTTGGTGAGGCCTTAAGAGGCACAGTGCACTTGACAGAGAAGGCAGAAACTTGTACCAAAATCATGAAAAAATGGCTCAGTGCCAGATAACATAGCTCTGTCAACTGGTAACATGCATTTTTAATAACTTCATGGGTTTTGCTCTTATCCATGCACTAGCCCTCCCTTCTTACTCAACACTTAGAAAAGATACCGCATTTTCTGGCATATAAGACTACTTTTTAACACAAGAAGATCTTCTCAAAAATCAGGGGTCATCTTATACCTGAGAGTCATCTTATACGTGGGAGTAGCCTTATACATGGGAGTCGTCTTATACACGGGAGTAGTTTTATATGCCAGGAGTCATCTTATAGAGCAGGTGCTGAAACTTCCAATCCTGATTGGAGAATCTGTGGTTCCTGCATATGGTGGGGGGAGCTCAAAATGTCAGTGGTCACGTCCCTGTCATATGCAGTGACTGTATGAAAGCATTAAGGGCAACGCTGTACAAGTGCAGTAGAAAAAAATCCATTCATCAGGATTCATGGACTTAATGTGGTCCTGATGGTGAGGTGAAGGGGCACCTCACCGGGAAGGTGTAAGTGAAGGGTGGAGCAAGATGCAGGCATCTGGGGGGCCCGGGGTATGTAAAAAAGGGATAGAGTGGCTCTGGACCCAGAAAAACACACCTCTTTTACCTGTCTGACCCGTCCTTGTATCCTATTACTGTACCTCCTCCTCTGCCTCTCAGATCTCGCTCCTGAAGACTGCAGTGAAGGTGTGCATGTGCGACATCTGAGAGGCAGAGAAGGAGGTACAGTAACAGGAAAATTACCATACTGAAATCAAATCTGATGCTTTTTAATTTTTTATTTGGTGTGCATTGGAAGAGGGGTTGTCTTATACAGCGAGTATATCCCAAACTCTATATTTTAACTGGAAAAGTTGGGGGTCATCTTATATGCCCAGTTGTCTTATATGCCAGAAAATACAGTACTTATTTCAGAATCCTCCAGCCACAATGGCTAGGTTACAATCCCAAGAGCATCAAATCCATGCCATGACCCCCTACAGATATCTCAAACCACAGATAATGCCAAACCCTGTATTTTGATTTTACTTGGACCAAAATAGAATAGTACTGGAGGATCTAAAGAAGACCACTTCTGTTTGCAGGCCCCTCTAGGTCCTCCAGTGCTATTGTATGGTATGCTTGGGGATAGAAGAATACTGTGGAATCTTACTTGAGGATCTAGAGAGGCCCACAAACACTTCCAGGGGGATAATATTTTTTTTCAAGTATGGGTATCAATTCCATGGTGATTGATTCCCATATTGCCCTATTAGTCATTCATACCATGACAAAATATAAAAGAAACTTTCAATATTTCTTCAGTGTGTAAATGTGCTAACTGACCAGTTACCTCATTTTCTAGCAGAGCATTGAGGCAGGCTTCTGACGCATCGCAGATGGCAGTAAGGTCATGTCCTCCTTCCAAGGCCAGCACCAAGTGACCATCAGCTAGTTTCAATAATTGTTTGATGAGGTGACCAAAACCTGGCAGGCCAAGAAAGTATGCAAATTATTACATGAGAGTACATGATTTACACACCTGACATTTGGATAGTATACGTCTCAAGCATCAAAGATTTCCATCGGTTCAGGGTTTCTTCATTGAGTTTTCCTAGCTCTGGCAAAACATAGTTTACAAACATGTTTAAATTGTTTTCAAATATTATTTCCATATCTGTTCTCAAATATTCGGCTTTTGATCCCAGTAAACTCAACCACATTTGTGATGTTGAATTAATTTTTGTTGTTTTTGCATAATTCAAATTTTCCATGATTTATGGCAACTGTATCATGGGGGTTTTGAAGGGCTGAAAAGTTGCCAACAATTTTCTGAAGATATGGCTCATCTTTAACACTTGAATAGCAGGCAGATAGAACATGGTCCTCTTCAGGGCAGGAATAGTTGCACCTATTCCATTTGACCAGTAGAAATGGGAGAAGGGGAGGTTTTGTTTTTATTTGTTTTTGAAAACTCATCCACAATTTGCAAATTTCCTTAGGATGAATAGAAGGGGTTAAGGAACTGAACATGGAGGAAATGGTAGCAGTTGATGTTCTCACCCCTACTGTCAATGACACGCATGTTCCTGTAGAAGAAGTAGGGTGAATTTGCAGGAAGAGGACTCAGTCATTCTCTATAAATAGTGTTAGTGTAGCCAACTTTGTAAGAAAGTTTAACTTTCCAGGCTTACAATTTCAACTGTGCTGCAACCATTTCCCTGCTTTCAAATTGCACACAGGTTAAAAAACAAAGCTTAATTCTGTAACCTAATCTCAATTTTCCCTTATGGGGAAGGGAGGAGGGAAGCCCTCTACAAAAGACTAAATTTGGACAGAATCATAAAAAGCAAGGAAGGAATGGAATGTAAGTCAACTTTGATCTTTAGCCAATTTCCACTTTCTTTTTTCTTTTTTACCTTGAGGATATATTTTCATCTGTATGTTACACACATGATCTTTAGAGGCAGACTATCGGAACAAGGCAGGGACAACGTTAAATTGTCCTTGTATTACAGGAAATGAATGACTTCTTGCTGCCATAGAGTATATAGCCATGCAAGGAAACGAACAATATTTTGTAAACATTCTTATTTTTTTTCTTCTAAATTGCTATGGTTAGGAATGGAAAGTCCATTTTAACCCAATCACTTGTTTGCATTCTGAAACTTTATTAGATCATATGCATGGCACCAAACACATTTTTGGGTAATTACTTCTTCAAAGAGTTTTCCTAAATGTTTGAGTTTTAATTATTTTTCACTGTGACTTTTTTCTTTCTCTTATTTCTACCTTTGCCACACTGAGGATGACCAGAAAAACTCCTGGTACATTAAAAATAAAGAAATCTGAGAAGGCACAGAAATAAAAAAAATATCAATTGACTGTAGAAGGATTGTAGAAATCCACACTCTCCTGGTGGTTTTGTAATATTATCTGACATCTTTCCATTTGACCAAGCTTATGAGTCTCCACTGCACAAATATATATGATGCAGCATGCTGTAGACTGCAAAAAGGCAGACCACATTAAATATGTTCCAAGGGAAAGCTGTGCATGCATTCTCAGAAGTAAATCTCATTGAGTTCAGGGAAGTTTAGCTCAAAAGAAATGTAATTTCAGGCTCCAATCCAGACTTAGCAGGCATCTATACTATACTATACTATACTATACTATACTATACTATACTATACTATACTATACTATACTATACTATTTTAACTTGCATGGTTTGATGCTATGGAATCCTGGGATTTGTAGTTTGGTGAGGCACCAGCACTCTTGGTAGAGGAGATGAAAGATCTCGTAAAACTACAATGACTCCATAGCACTGTTCCATGGCAATTAGAAGAAGAAGAACTTTATTTTTCATCCCCGCCTCATCTCCCCGAAGGGACTCGGGGTGGCTCACATGGGGCCAAGCCCAAGGCAACATATAATTAAAAACAGAACCATAACATATTAAAATAGCATAAAACAGCATAAACAATAGTAAACAAGCATCAAAAGCAACAACAGACTCATCTTTGGAGGGGAGGGAGGGGGCCAACATGCGAAACTAGTTAAAGGATAGGGTGGTCAATATGGTGGATAGAAATGTATAGCGGCATAGGAATAATAGCATAGAAATAGAGCAATTCAACAGGATCAATTAAAGTAGTGTCAAACTGCAGTAATTCTACAGTGTAGACAAACCCTGTCTACATTCCCAGAAAAACTAGTGCAAAATATTTCATGTGAAGGGTATCATGAATGACAAACTCCTGTAAAGAACAATAGACTATAAGTGAATCATAGATTATTATTTTCTTTCAATTTATTGAAAAACATTTATTTCAGGGTGATGAAAAGTTAATTTGATTGGATGGGAGCTCTTAAAATCTCCAAACCATTGGCTGGGCAATTCTGTGAGTTATATTCCAGAAGTAACTTATCTAAACTCTGATCTATTTTCTCATAGTTCTGAGAAATATTCAAGTGGAATATTTGGTGTTCATTCTGGTGAGAATACCACATGTTAATTTGACAAGAATAACTTGCCAAGAGAGCCATCACAGTCTAGTGGTGTGGGTGTTAGATTAAGACTCCAGGAGACAAGGGTTCAACATCCTATTCTGTCATGGAAGTCTGTTTAATGACCTTAGATCAGTGCTTCTCAACCTGTGAGTCCCGAGATGTTTTGGCCTTCGACCACCAGAAATCCAAAAAGCTGGTAAACTTGCTGGGATTTTTGGGAGTTGTAGGCCAAAAGAGGAAGGTCAATGACAAATATTTTTAAAATAAATCTCCAAAAATACCCAGTATGATGGGTTTACCATAATCTGAAGTAAATATGAAGGAACATAGCACAAGCACTAAGATTGCCAAAACGCATGTCTGCTTGAAGTCACAATATCTGAACTAGAACATCAAGCTGAATGTCAGTCAATAGTTGGAGAATGCACACTGGGAAATTTACTCTGACCATGTTTAGAGACACCATGTTATGTTATTATATTCTGGAATAAATATAACAACAGCAGTCTGAGGACTTCATCACTCAGAATTAAATAAGCATTTCTACACACTTAAAAAACCACTATTGTTGGTGCCATTCACACTATGCAAGCTTCTAATATAAGGTAGAGGTATCTTACTGTTTCTAAAGTGTGGGTTTTTCGCACAATTCATGTCAATTGGCATTCAACTTCTTTTTTCATTCCCCATTTTCAATGCCCAATTTACCATGTAATGGGAATTATCCCTTGCCTGCTTGTAAAGATAATGATGATGTCATCAGAGAGGGAGTTGCTGAGAAGGACAGAATCGATTTCTTCTGCCACCATTACCATTTGGGACTGAGGAGGTATAGCAAACATTCAAAGATACTCAAAACATTCAGGAGAAAATAGCAAGCATGCAAATCCTGCAGTTCCTCTAGTGTTTCTGTAATGTTAGCAAGCTCCCACTTTCAACATTCTCAACTGCCCCTCTGACACTCCTGACATGCCGTCAGGCTTTTGTTTTGCCTATCAAAAGGCTAGCAGAGAGAGACATACAAGAAAGCTAAAGCTTCACTCCTCCCTGTTCCTAATTCTGCTGCTGTTGTGGGTTTTTGGGCTGTAAGTTGAACTCCAGAGATTAAAGAGAAGTTTTAAAAAAAAGAAAATGGGGAGGGACAGTGGGGGAAACAAGTCTTTACTGTGTGTTGGCATATCAAATTGATACATCTTAAAGAAAGTGGAGAAAATAATTAATGTGATGGAGGTAGGAAAATCTTCCTTTTAATTTCAAAATGGGGTAGGGCAAAGCTTAAGGGAAAACCAACTCTCCCAAATGCTAGACTTATTCTGTAGGATGAAGTCCTGAGTTTAAAGACTTTATTGCATGAGGCAGACAAAATGGCATTGCAGCAGGACCACCTATCTCATGGCACCATGTGCATCCTACTGCTGGTTTGTCTCTGGCCCCTGATTCCCCATCTCTAGCAATTAATAGGTAAAAGTAATCAATAACTCCTAATTCTGAAACATTCCTATCATAGGGTGTAAGGTTTTCCTCCTTTATCCACCCCCTTTCCTCTTGACAAGCTGGCAATTTTCCATTTATTTTATATTTTATTATTATATTTGCCATTTTTCGTTTTGCAAAACTACAGTTGCAAAATTGTTGTAAGAAAATCAAGGAACCGAGGAATTATGGGATAATTGGTTTTGAGGGTATGGAAAAGTATGGCTGTAGGCTCATGAAGTGAAAAATTAGTGTAACTGCATGATTGATACTGAAGTTGTGATGCTGAAGGCGTGTATCTGCTTTCAATGATAGATGATTTCATAGAATCATAGAATCATAGAATCAAAGAGTTGGAAGAGACCTCATGGGCCATCAGTCCAACCCCCTGCCAAGAAGCAGGAATATTGCATTCAAATCACCCCTGACAGATGGCCATCCAGCCTCTGTTTAAAAGCTTCCAAAGAAGGAGCCCCCACCACACTCCGGGGCAGAGAGTTCCACTGCTGAACGGCTCTCACAGTCAGGAAGTTCTTCCTCATGTTCAGATGGAATCTCCTCTCCTGTAGTTTGAAGCCATTGTTCCGCGTCTTAGTCTCCAGGGAAGCAGAAAACAAGCTTGCTCCCTCCTCCCTGTGGCTTCCTCTCACATATTTATACATGGCTATCATATCTCCTCTCAGCCTTCTCTTCTTCAGGCTAAACATGCCCAGCTCCTTAAGCCGCTCCTCATAGGGCTTGTTCTCCAGACCCTTTATAATTTTAGTCGCCCTCCTCTGGACACATTCCAGCTTGTCAATATCTCTCTTGAATTGTGGTGCCCAGAATTGGACACAATATTCCATATTTAATATTTAATGAATTAGTGAGCTCATGTGATAAAATTCTAAGCCCAACAGAGAAACATCCACACTCAATGGTACGGCAGAAAGTTTTGAAAGTAATTGTGACAGTCCCCTTATCCAAAGACAGTTCAAAAACGTATCAACAAGCCAGTC